GTAAAATGTCCAAGATGCAGTAGGTGGTCAATGGCTATTTGTCAACTATTGAATGGATAAACTATGTGAAACACAGAAGGTCCTAATAAGCATGATATTGGACTTTCTCATTTGATACTCCAGCCATCAAGTGCCCAGGAATGTTTGCCCCAGACCAAGGCAGCCTGGATTGTTCTCATGACAATGGAGAATTCATTGTTGGCTCCACCTGCCGCTTCTCCTGTAACAATGACTTTGAGCTACTAGGATCAAAAACTGTGGAATGCATGGTTTCTGGAAGATGGTCAGCACCTCCACCAACCTGCAAAGGTAAGGACATATTCACCAGGAAGTTGTACTTGGGCTTATATTTCCACACTGAAAACACAAAGCTCATTTATGTGGCAAGTACATAATACACTGTTAGTGTAGTCAACACAATTGTAGGTTTTTAAACTTTCTAAGATAAATAAATAAATAAATACATAAATAAATAAATGATACACTGATTCTTATGGAGAGAATTGTGGTCACTTCTCTAACCCTATTTATCGCAAAGATCTTCATCGAGCAAATTGAGTGGTACGTTGCATTGCTGAGAATGCTGGCTGGTGGTTATGGGCTCTGGTGATTGGAACAAGGACTTGAGATGCAGAGGGATCAAGTATCTTCATTCTATCACATAGCAAGATTACGACCAATTCGGCAGCACTTTTTCCATTTCATCTTTCATGTTGACCTTGAGCCAAGGAACAGCATACTATCCACCAACCCAGCGAGCACAGTCAGTTGTTTGCATTTAATGTGGCCTTCTATTAAGGTGTTAGCTCTCCATAGCAGCTCTCCAGCTGCCTCCCTTTTAAAACTATTAGTAATATCAACTCTGTTTCTTCTTATGACCAGAATAATGACTTTTCATGACCACCTTTAAAATACTGTTTCTTCTAAATCATTTAGTTACTTGTTACTTGGGTGTGGTGTGTGCACACATGTATATGCAGGTGTGAGAGCCCATATGCATGCATGCAGAAGCCAGAGGCCAGCCGATGTCTTCCTCTGTTAGTTACTCCCTGCCTTATTTCCTGAGACATGGTCTCGCACTGAACATGAAGCTCACCTTTTTGCCTAGGCTACTGGCTATCAAGTTCCCAGGATCTACTTGTTTCTGCCTGCCAATGCTGACTTTTATATGGATGCTGTGGATTTAACTGAGGTTCCTTGCTTTCAAAACAAGAGCTCTCATCCACCAAATTATCTCTCCAGCTCTTAAAGAATTTTTCACCATCTCATTTTCCATACCTGAGATTAATAGGTCTTTGTATCTTCCAAATATACCTTGCTAGTTGAAGGCAATTATCCCATGACAGTTTAAACTCAGATATGATCCCTTATCCTGTGAACGTACTGAATACTTTAAAATGGAATATTTTTCTCATGACAGTTGTAACATCACCTCCTAACCCAGAGGTGCGCTGTCCTGCTCTCACTACTCCTGGACAGGGAACAATGTCCTGCAGACACCACCTGGGAAGCTTTGGTCCAAACACCACTTGTTACTTTGGGTGCAAAACTGGATTTACAATCAGAGGAGCCAACTGGCTCAGATGCAAGACTTCAGGACAATGGACAGCAGTGACTCCAGTGTGCAGAGGTAACTATCGAAGCAGGAACAGGGAATTCTGATGTCGTCTTCCCTGCCCATACGTTGTATGTATCTGCCTGTTTAAATTCCACCCAGTCCTAACAACCCATGCAAGCGCCCACTCCTCCATGAAATCCACAGAGGTTCCAAGCAGAAGGAGTATGCAGCAGTCACTTCACTTGGCCAAACCACTTTATACATAGACGTATACATAAAGATACATATGTCTGCCTGTGTCAGAGCTAAAAGCATGCAAATGCAAAACCAGCTCAGTGAATTGTGAGGTATAAAATGCAATGTTATTAATTAGGTACCAGTATAAACCTGCAGTATTTTCATAATGATTGGAATCTAAGATGTTAGTCCTGAGTGACATTTCTTAAGGAGCTACCACACTCTTCACAAAGCATGGAGTCCCCAGTCTCCTTCATCTCCCACAAAGCACAGCATTGAGCTTTAGGAATGTCAGGACTGCTCTATTACATTTATTTGAATTAAATCTGATTTCCTGGGGTTCGTTTCCTGTCCACAATTTACAGAAAATAATCTGAAGTTACCTTAAAAAATAGTTTGAAGAGGGTTGTTGTCTCCTCTTCCAAACTTCTAGTGTCTAGCTGTGAGGGACATGAAGTAGGTATTTTGATAATCACATGCTGACATGGCAAATTAATCACAATGTATCAATAATAACACATGGATACAAATTCAATAGTGTTTTGAGGGGCAAATTTTGTAATTTAGATCAGTGCATTAGCAATTTATTGTTTGCTCTATGGGTCATCTTTGTTCTCAGGCTAGTACTATTTCATGGCTACTTTGGCAAGATGATATTTGAGGAGCTGCTCCAGCTCTTGGGTTTGGCTGACCTCCTGTATGGCCTTTTCATTGACTCCATTTACTGTGATTTCCAGACAAGTGCCTTCCCTCTGTGTATTTGCTTCTTCTCATTCATTTTTTTCCTTGCAGCCATAAAATGCTCAGAACTGCATATGGACACACCAGTATTGATGAACTGCTCCAACCCCTGGGGAAATTTTAGCTATGGATCAACCTGCAACTTCAACTGTCCAGAGGGGCAGTTACTGAATGGCTCTGCAAGGGCAACATGCCGAGAGAATGGCCAGTGGTCAGCTACCATGCCACTATGCCAAGGTACATTTTTCATATGGCTTATAACATGACCTTGACATGGAAGGCAAAGTCCCTTTTCTTTTCTGCATATTTCTCAGGGCTTTTCTTGGCTTCACTTGTCCCCCTTGCTTGATGAATGTCAGAATGAGCCACAAAGGATCCTCTTGCTTTATACAAACCCTAGGGATGAAGCTGGTGGCCACGTGGATCCCTGCCATTCCTTTTCATTGTTTAGATGGTGAAACTAATTTCCCCACTTACTATAGCCTCTTCTCAACACACCTTGAGACTGCAAATATGTTAACCAAGGGTTTTCACACAGAATCCTAATTTGCTGTGTCAGAACACCTTTATTTACCATCTACCTCAAAAAATACCCCAAGTCTTTTAATTATGCCCCATCTATTTGCAAGCTTTATCTCAGCCCCCTACTTCTCCATTACTAGCAGTTATGACTAGTTTTGTTATATATCCAAATCATTGATTGATAAAGAGAAATTACCCCATCATCATTTACTTCATTTACCCAAATAACTATGCATAAGCACTGATGAATCTGTATCAGTCAATGAGTTCCTTTCAGGGAATCTTTATCTTGTCCACTTTAGAAATCATGATTTTTCTTAATCAAAATCTTTAAGCCTCAGGATGCAATCAGACCCCACTTCCTTTTCTGTTTCGATGGATTTCTGACTTCCAAACTTTCTTGCCAGGTTATCTTGCTTACAACCCTATCTTAGTTCTTGGGGCGCCTCTGGCAGGATGATTGGCCTGTGCACACCATACTCACACTTTGCATGCATGTTTATTTTAGCAGGACCACTGACCATTCAGGAAGCACTGACTTACTTGGGCGGGGCAGTGGCTTCTACAACAGGCCTGGCAGTGGGAGGGACTCTCCTGGCTCTGCTCAGAAAGCGTCTCAGGAAAAAAGGTAAACACAAAGGAACCTTCCTCTTTTCTGTTCATGATTTTGGAGTGAAGTGAGAAAGTCAGAAATTTCTGTTTAGAAACAATTTGCCATAGAAAATATTTGTGACCTTGAGCCCTGACTGCCTGTCTGAATCACCGGAAGGAAATTATGAAAATACAGAAATTCTGAATTTTCTCCTGTGTGTGTGTGTGTGTGTGTGTGTTCATGAATACATGTGTGGATCTTCTGCATACTAAGCCAGTGCTCTACCACTGAGATGTGTCACCAGCTATTATATGAACTTTTCTACAGGCTTCCCTTAAAAGTTAGTTATAAAACATGCCATGTGTCTTTCCCTCACCTCACCCCATAAAATAGCCATTTTCAAGTCAGCTTTTCCAGACAGTGGGGCTAATGAGGTTGAGGAAGATACGGTCCTGTAAAAGGGACCGATAAGTTAAACTGATTGTGGTATGTCAGAAGAACAAAAATATGATAGATCTTACTGAAACATAGAACAATGGTTCTTGGATCAGATTGGTACATTGCAAAGGCTTTCTCAACCTTAGTTTGGGTTATGGGATGTGGCCAAGATGGGGAGATGGACTGGAGTCCTAGCAAAGAAAACTGCGCATGAAAACCATAAGCTTGTTAGACAGCTATGAGAAGTGGTGTGTTTAGCAGCCAACAGCATCAGAACCCAGCGGACTCACAGACCAGTGGGGAGGAGAAGCTGGTGGTTAAGAAGTCTCTGCTTCAATAGTGTCCTGAAAACACATACTCAAAATTTCTCTCCAGCAAACTTATGGGTTTGGAGAAGGTTAAGCAGGAGAGTGACCGATGATGAAGTCTCTATCAGGGACACCTCACCAGTCTGTTTTCAGAAAGAGATCTTAGACCCAGAGACAAAAGAAACACCCAGTTCTTAGCTTCCAAACATCTTTTCTCCATCTGCTATGACTTATAGCCTGCCCAAGTGTTGACTGGATACACGCGTTTCTCTATAAAATAACGAGGTTCTGACTGCCCTTCCTAATAGAAAGGAAGACCCGCTGGTGCTCAAATCCAGACAAGTGGAAGAAGTTGTGTAAACTATTCCAGACCTCGCATTCCATTGAGGAGTTCCAATAGCAATTCGTAGTTGCTCGAGGGACGGAATGTCCTGTGCCCTCCTTTTATCACGCCCCACACAAAGGCACCACTGCATGGTATATGTTTCCCCATCACTCTCACACACAATCTCCTGTGTGTTGGAAGACTAATGATAGCAAAGGGTAGTTTCCTGCTGATGGGAGAGAGGTGCCAATAGTCATGAAGAATTCCTCCATGAAAACGTGGTGGAAGGAAGAGGTCTGAAAACCCAGCTTTAATCTCCATAATCATGTCAGGATCGCATAATCTTCTCCTGCCCCTCCCCTGGTCTACTGACCCTCCAAACCAATGCCAAGTTGTTTCTTTGGTTTTCACATAAATTTGAGGTTTTCCAGTAGCCTCTCATTTTTCTAAATCTCTAACAATAAATAGATGTATGAGTTGAGGAGGATGCCATTTCCTGGGCTCATTCCAATTTGGGCTCCAATATTGTGAAATACCAGGCAGTGCTGTAGCCTTGTCTCAAGACTTAACTATCAGCCTGTTGTTTGGATTAGGACAGGAGGCTCCTGATCACATCCATCACTGGGAGGAAAAATGAAGCATCCACTGTAGTCTCGCTGTGGGCTGATTTATAAGATTGCCATGCTAGCTGAGGACCAAGGGACTAAAAACCAGGATATAGCAATAGAGGGCACTCAGGTACCAGGATTGGAGACTCGGAGACATGAGGACAGGGTAGTTGGGTTTTTCCCTATAAAGATAAAAAGAAAAAAAGGTAAGAGGACTTTGGAATAAAACATTATAAAATGCTCAATTTAACCTAAAACAAGTGCTGCCCATATTTTAAGCCAGAAGGTTCCAAATATCCTGCATATAACAGACTTATCTGAAAATCAGTCTCTGAATTTTCCTCAATAATTTCTAACACTAGTAACTATTTTCACCTCATTGTTCTTTTATTCATGTTTTCTCACTTCTTTCAGATGATGGGAAATGCCCCCTGAGCCCTCACAGGTAAGACCTGAATGTTCTGTGCAAGAACAAATGTTTGTCTTTCTAACGTTTGTCATCAGGGGAACATGTGCAATGTTTCCTCCTCTCTGTGACTTACTTATCTTCTGCCATGTCCTTCCTGTCCTGAGAAAGAGCATGTGGGTAATATAGGTCAGCTAAACATAGTGTTTGAAATATCAATACTTGGGGATTTTCTGGCTCTGGAGTCCCCCCTCTGCTTTGTAGGGGGTCTTTCTCTCTTAGGGCTTGCTATGTGTGCACATTTCTTCTCACTGGTTAGAAGCAATAGATATCCTCATTATAGTATAAAAAGGAAATAAAGTGGGAAGTGATTTGTAATAGAAACCAAATGATAACACTTGGGTGTTACACTAGTAAACGCTTGAAGGCCATTGAAAGTTTGTAAATTTCAGTAGAATCTCCATGATCTCAGGAAGAGACAGTAGGCTGTCTCCTGAGAAAACACTGTTATTAGTTCAATTCACAGGGCAATGACTTTCATCTTAAAAGATGAAAAAAAAAACACACTTAGTATTCTCATGTGAATTAATTAAGTTCCAGGCAGTATTTAATCCTGAATAATGATATTCCAAAGCCACGTGGGATCTGGGACAATTCTTTTCCATCCTGTGTTTTTGGACATGTAGTATCCCTAACCTCTGCCCGCTACCCATCCTTCCTCCTCATGACCATGAGAATCCAAAAACCACCCCTAGGGGGCAGTACTATCATTCTGTGGAAACCATTGCTCCGTTTTCAAGATTGAGAACTTTGCAACTATTTCTTCTTATCAAGAAGAGTGTGCAAACCCTTATAGGACAAATCAAGTTTTCTTCAGGGAAACCCACAGCAGCAATACTGTGGGTAGGGTTGGGGATGTGGCCTGGTGGTAGAGCATTTGTTTAGCACGCATGAGGCCCGGGGTTCCATTCCCAGTACCATGAAAAAGTGTGAGTGTGAAGTACAAGTCAAGCTGCCCAGAGTTCTGAGTGGGACCTTCAAAGTAGCTTTCCCATTTACTTGTCTTGTGAAAATAGGCAGAATTCCAGGGTAGGTAGCAATCCGTTGTTTCTAGAGATACTATGAGCTTGGTTTGGAGGAGCAATTTCATGGTAGATCATCCTTGTGTTTCTGTTCTTCAGCCACCTAGGAACATACGGAGTCTTCACTAATGCTGCATTTGACCCAACCCCTTGAGGTGAGTTCCCTATGAGGATATTTTTGAAGAAGATAAAACAGCAAAGGAAAGGACAATAATTCCAAGTTTTAATTTTCTTTACATCATTGTGCATTAACTTTTACGCTTGTATTAAAATGTCAAGCCATGACAGAAACTATGTTGGCAACAAGTATATGTGACAGTGGAGGGACAGTAGAATTTACCCAAGGATTTCCATTCCTTCCAGGATGTGTGAGATCCCATATTGGCAGCCAAGGGGTATCGACAGTGTGAGCTTGCCTCAAAATACCCTATGCTACCTGATGGGAAAACTGAAATGATCTGAAAACATTTTTTTTCCAAATAGTGCAATGAAAAGTCCCCTTTCCTAGGAAAAGCAGCCTGCTGGTAGACAGTGTAGACCTGGAAAGAGGCAACTGCCTTGATCAACAGGGGATAGGCGTGTTGAAAGACTTCTTTTTCTTTTAAGGATAGTTAAACTTGCTTTCTTTCGTTTTCAGAGGTCTGGTGTCCATCTCCTCCTTCAGTCTCTCAGGACTCTGCATGCAGATGCCACGTTTCCTGACTTTAACTCTACTGCATTTGTGGCTGTTTTCTGTAAATGATTGGATGGGAATCGAGTGAAAGGACTGTGGACATTCCCACCTCTCCGCCCACTCCTTCCGGCTCCGCCTCTCACCTTCCTCTAGCACAGCCACAGAAACAGGAGCAAATGTTTCTACTGTGGTCTATAGCTTTGGCCTTGCTTCTACTGAAAACTGGAGTTAGTCCAAGACCCTGGGGCATCTGACTCACCAGGAGACTGGACTCTGGAGAGCTGAAGATCTGTTTTCTCTTGGGATTGAAGAGTGGTACTCCAAGATGCAAGAGAAACCTCTAGCTTAAGGAAGAGGCTGCTGTAAGATCTCCTGGACCTTCCCAAGTTTCTTTCTATGAGGTTGTTTATACCTCTGCTGCTGACACTTTCACAGAAACTTCCACATGGTACCAAAGGCCACAGGAGACCAAGAACAGAGCCAGGATGCCATATCCTACTAAAGACCTTCCCTCCACTAAAGCACCCAAAGGTCATTGTTTGATTATATAATTAGACTCCCTGAAATGTCATGATCCTCATGTTTTGTTCATTAAGGTCCATGTGTCTCACATTGTCTATCACCAATGTGGTCATAGTTACAGCCATCCCAATGACAGCTAGACCTTCCAGTGAGCCAGCAAATATATGTCATATGTCCCCTGTCTGCAGAGAAAAAGTTGGAGGGACAGAAAAGGTCTTCATTGTATTACTGTTCTGCAGGAAAGAACAGATATGATTTTTTTCTTATTTTTTTATTTTTATTTTTAAATTTAAATTAGAAACAAGGTTGCTTCACAAGTCAATCCCAGGTCCCTCTCCCTTTCCCTCCCCTCCTCCCATGTCCTCCCACCCACCCACCCCCTTACCCACTCCTTTCCCCAGGGAGGGTGAGGCCCTCCATGGGGTTGTCCATAGTCTGTTATTTCAAGATATGTTTTATATGTAATTTAATTCACATATTTAATAAAGAAGTCACTAAAAATTATACATGACTTGTCTCTAATTGATGCAAACATCTGGGAGTCAAACAATGCAGTTGCCTTGCTGTGGTGTAATGAAATTCAGTGACCACCATGTAGATTGGATACACAAGCAGATAGGCAAGCAAAAACAGTAACTCCGTCCTTTGAAGAGTTAGTAATTTTGAAAAAGAAAAGAAAGGAAGGAAGAAATAAAGAAAGAAAGAGAGAGAGAGAAAAGAAAAGAATCTAGGACCTTGCTGCTTTAAATTTTTTCTCAGATACATTGTCAATAGTGTGTGTGTGTGTGTGTGTGTGCGCGCGTGCGCGCGTGTGTAAGAGAGAGACAGACAGACAGACAGACAGACAGACAGACACTAGGCTAGGTCAACCCTGTCTCCCCATGTTAGAATTTGCATTTTGTTAAAAGTACCCAGAGGATTGTGACAACATTGGGACCCCAGGAATTGTGGGTCAGGGGAGCAAGGTGTTGTTCCTGTTCTTGAATAGATTCTAATGTAGCTGTGGGTACAAGAGAACCCCGTTAAACTAATACAGGGTAATCAAAAAGATCGTATAATCTGAATAGATTAAATTCATAAAACAGAGACATCAGCTTTGAACCCAGTATCAGAGATGAAAGCAGAACTCCTGGCTTTAAAGAAGGGGAGAGCAGAGAGGGGAGAAAATGGATGTGGGCACTCCTTTTACTATAGTTAGATATGCATGTGTCTGTTAATTAATTAATTTTTGGTACAGGGCCTCCCTGTGCAGTTTAGGCTGATCTCAAGCCACAGACTCACTTTCTCCTGCTTCAGCCGATTGTGTGTTGGGATTACAGTCATGTGCCATCATGCCTTACTTGAGAAGGGGCATTCTAAATCGATTGAATAATATGAGCAAGGGAATAAATGCAAGAGCAGGGGAGGGGAGGCTGACAAGGAGCCTGGATGGTGCCAGATCACAATTTTACTTCATGTGCTGGAAGCATAAAACATGGGCAGAAACAGTTCTAGGCAACTCGGGACAAGGCATTGTGCTGATTCAGATAATATACGTCTCAGCTTCTCCACCAACAGAAAAAATACAATTTACAACAATATGCAAAGCATCATTCAAAACATGGCCCCATGGAGGAGGGGAGCATAAGCATAGACCCATAGGTTGCAGCCGCCTGGACACTGGAGACCATACAGTTTACAACATCCCCTCCCCCCACAATAATCGGATCAAGGAAAAACAGAATTGCCATCCTTATTTTGCAGATGTCAAAAGTACTCCAGAGATAGAAGGTAACTGGCCCAAGACCACTCAACTACCGACTATCTCAAATGAGGTCTCTAATTCCTGTTCTCTCCTACACTGGGGCTGCTGACAAGCGCGTACCAGGTGGTGTGTGCCTTGGTAGAAGTTACTGAAGCAATCTAGAATCTAACCTGTTGGTAGACTTGTCTTCTGGCCGTTTTCTGTGCCTAGTAACCAGTGTCATTTTCCTGGGGTCAGAGTATGGGTGTTGGGTCTTAGTAAGGCTTGCAGAAACCGGCTCGCCTAAACTTTGACCCTTTCTCTCCGCCCCACCCCCACCCCCGCAGGACCAGTGGAATTGCTGCTCTCACCTGTGGTTGAAGAGGGGGGATGCTGCTTTGCGATGGGGCAAAGATTCTTGGACACAGTTCCTGTGCCACAGCCTCCAGCAGGGTTGCCCTTTCTTTCCTTGTAATCCACAGTCCCTAGTCTGGTTCCCTAATAAATGTTTCTGACCACAGGGGGGAGTGACCTCAACAAGCCCATGCCTACATGAGGCACAGTCCGGGAAGGGAGGTAGGGCGAGCCAGCGCAACAGGAGACAGGGACACTGCTTCCTGCAGCTTCGCGCAGCAGGAACAGAGAACTGAGTGAGCACTGTCGGCAGTGGCTGTGTGCCTGCCGCAGGGCAAGGGCCATGTTCCGAGTCTGCCCGCGCCTCTGCATCCTGGTGGTCCTGGGCACCAGCTGGGCGGGCTGGGGCAGCCACCGGGCCGAGGCAGCGCGGGTAAGGCAGTTCTACGTGGCTGCTCAGGGAATTCTCTGGAGCTACCATCCTGAGCCCACAGACCCAAGGTAACTCGGGGTGGAGTCCAGGTGATCTTCTCCAAAAGAAAATCCACTGTAATTGCAGGTTTTTTGTTTTGTTTTGTCTTTGTTTTTTTTTTTTTTTTTATTTCAGGGCGGTGGGGAGGGGAGACAGAGAGAGGGAGAGAGACAGACAGAGATGGACAGGAAGAGAGACAGAGAGAAAGAGACAGAATAGAGACAGAGACACAGAGAAAGAAACACGGAGACACAGAGAGAACACAGTTAAAGTGTAATAATTTTGCTTCCACTGATACAACTTATTGTATGAAGGATGTAGAAATTTTCCAGTGTGAATAGTTAGCTATGACTAACCATCTTTTTCACACACACCCCATACTGTTTGCTCCCACTTTGTTAGTTTAGTCTACTGATGGATTGAAATGACCAACCTCCTGATCCCTCTTACACCTTCGTGAAAGTCTGGTTCCAGCCTTTAAGAGTCTGCTTTAAAAAAAAAAATGGAACTTGTAGCTACATAACATTTATTCCTTGTAGACATAGGTTCCAAAGAGAAGTCCACTGTGTACTTCATTGTGAGGAGATAATTAGTGGCTTTTGCCTTAATTTTGTTGCCTTGCTATAAATGACTTTCAAAACATTGGTACATGGGAAGAGGACACACTTGTATTTTCACCTCTTCTTGACTTCTTCCTGGCTACCTAAGTGGCTTCACTTATTTCTCTTTCCCTTTGCATGACTTCCTTAACTATGACTTATCCGGGATATTTTGGTCTGCCCTGAATATTAACCATGTTAGTGACCAGGTAAGAAGGCCATTCAAAGATATGTATTAACTATGAGGAGGTTTAAATAATATCAACCCTACCTTTGAGTTGCAAGATATATTTTGCTAACTGGAAAGTTAAATGAAAGCCTTCCTGAAGTTAGTCAACTCATAGATTTACTCAACATTCATAGCTACTGTTTCTATTTGAAATGGCAAGCCTAGCCTTCTAGTTGACTCATTTTTTTTCCTTTTAGTTGACATCAAAGTTTAAGCAATTGTGAAAGATGTGTTCCTCTTTTACAATTGCAAAACCAAAGCAATCAGCCAAAAAAATAATGTAATATTTTGAAAGCAATGGGTAACATTTTAATATGAGTGTATAGTAAGCCTTTAATTTTTGTTGTTGTTGAAGCTGGGGCTATTTGGGATGCCATTACAGTCTATCTTGGTATTATGCTAATAAATATCACATTAAAGTGATTTCAAGTATTGCATTTTTAGAGTGATAATCTAAGTTGTATCCACACTCTTAGGAAACTGCCATTAATGGAGCCCTCCCCCCCAATAACATTATTTCCAGCACCAATTTTCCTGCTTTGGGTAGACAGACTTGGTGGCTGGTGTGTTCAGCCTGGGGTAGGGCACAGGTAGGTATAAGTCAGGGGACACAAAGTTAGGGATGAAAAAATTCAGATCAAATGTACAACGTGAGGACTCTAGGTAACAGCAGTGTATTACATGGGTATGTCTTCCCCTGGTAACGGGAAATGGATAATGGAAAAGAAAAATGAATAAGCTTGTTTGCCTTAGGGTTTCCATTGATTTAATGAATTACCTTGACCAAAAGGCAAGTTAGGCAGGAAAGTGTTTCTTTGGCTTACACTTCAGCATTACTGTTCATCACTGAAGGAAGTCAGGACAGGAACTCACACAGGGCAGGATTCCAGAGGCAGGAACTGATGCAAAGGCCGTGGATGGGAACTGCTCACTGGCTTGCTTCCCCTGGTTTGCCCAGCCTGCTTTCTTATAGAACCCAGGACCATCAACCCAGGGATGGCACCACCCACCATGGGCTCTTTCCCAACCCCAGTTGATCACTAATTGAGAAAATGCCTTACAGCTGGATCTCATTTGCTCAACTGAGGTTCCTTCCTCTCTGATGACTCTAGCTTGTGTCAAATTGACGCATACAACCAGCCAGCACACTGTTGGGAGGGAAAACTACCAGAGGAAGTCTTGCTTCAGGGTCTCCATCACTCCTGTGAAGAACCTCATTTGCCCTAGAAATATAAAATGGAGCAGAAGCCTGCTGGGTCTGGATAAAGCCGAGGAAATGGTTTAGCCCTAGATCTGGGCTCTGCTGTTTATCATCTACATCTTCTGAAGAAGCGACTTAATCTTTTCAGTGCAAGTTTTTGGCTTGTACCCAATACAGATCTCAGAGTTTTACTCTATTGCTGACTCCGTTCTCTCTACTAGAAACAGGCTCCAATAAATGGACACCAATTTACCATATTTCCCATTGGTTCAAAAATGTTTCATGAAAGTAGAAAAAATTTTAATTATATCTGATTAATTGATTGAAAAATGGTTCAAATATATGCTTATCTGTGACTGGAATTTCTAACTTAGACCTGAAGTAGTTTGAGTTTGCACTATGAGCTTATCTTTTTTTTTTTTTTTTTTTTTGGTTTTTCGAGACAGGGTTTCTCTGTATTGCTTTGGAGTCTGTCCTGGACTAGCTCTATAGAACAGGCTGACTTTGAACTCACAGAGATCCACCTGCCTCTGCCTCTCAAGCTCTCGAGTGCTGGAATTAAAGGTGTGCGCCACCAACGCCCAGCTGAGCTTAGAAAAGCAGAAGCAGAGCAAAATCAGGCTTGTGGAAGGAAGACTATCATTGATGATGCTTACTCCACATATTTCACTTGATATTCCAATCTATAAAACCTTGGGCCTTGGAAACACAATAAAGTACAGTTATTCTACTTTTATATGCAAAATCTGAACACATAGACACCTCCTTTTCTGGAATGGGAATAGATATCCCATATGGCTTTCAAATTAGTTTTTATATTTTATTTCTAGCTTGAATTCTAAACCTTCCTTCAAGAAAATTGTCTACAGAGAGTATGAGCCACATTTTAAGAAAGAAAAGCCACGATCTAGCATCTCAGGTAAGTCTGAAATAAATATATTTTTTAAATTATTTTTTGTGTTGAGGTTTGAAAGCACAGTCTAATGCATGCTAGGAAAAAAACTCTTATCACTGCACTGATCTAAATCTCAGTCTACATTTAATTTTTTATTCTGAGACAAGGTCTCACTAAGTTGGCTACCCACTTAGTCTATTGCCCAGGAAGACTGTGAATTGTGATTTTTTTTGGTCTCAGCTTCTCAAGTAGCTGGGACACCAGAACCAGTTTGTATTTCTTTTCATTTTAAATATAATTTTTCATGGATAGTATTGTGTTCCTTATACTTGAAATATTCCCTCTGAACTGACTGGATAGCCAGTGGCTAGAGTGCGAAGCCTGAAATCTCCGGTTCCATCCCCAGGACTCACATGGTAGAAGGAGAAAACTGAGTCTCTCACGTTGGCCTCAGATCTCCACTCATGCAACACTGCAGGAGCTCATGCGCATGCACACACACACCAAAATAAATAAGTATAAAATATTTAAATATCCACTTAGTTGTCTTCTGTTACTATGTATGATGTTCCTATCAGATTCTAGTTATATAATATGTATTCCCAGATGCAGTGAGAGTATGGGACTTCTTGTTCATAGTATTGAGAATTTCAGAGATAGTGAAATTTAAAACAAACGGGCTTTTCTGAACATGGGGCCCTGCAGAATTGAACAGGTCACATGCCCACACAGCCAACCATGTTTTTAACCTTGGTCAAGAAAGCCAAACAAAATGTTTCAGTGTTTGAATTTGTATTTATTCATCTAACAAAAACCCACAGCTGGGCACCTACTGTGGGCTTGACATTGAATTAGGCTCTATGAATACAAGAGTTAGACAACATGAGCTCTGACTTCCCTGGGGCTTGTGACCTGTTTGTATAGACACAGATGCACTCCAAAAGGATAAACTTGTCATTGTGTCTGTCTAGCTTTCTATACTCACTCAAATATGGATGTTTGATCCTTTGCCTTTAGCTTTCTGATAGCTATGGCATTTGAAGAAAACCTCTCTTCTATTTTTCTTTAGTGCTTCATTAATCAGACTGATTTATCAAGGGCTCTGGGATCTTAACTATAGAAACATATTTCACAGGAATTATAGAAGCTTATTCAGGCAAAATATCTTCCAGTTGCCCCCCTTGTCCTCAATCCACCCATCCTTCCCCCATCCTGGTGATGATCAGCCACCTTTACCAAGCCCACCTTGTGCCTCTTCTGCCCACCCACCCCCATCCCCACCCCCTGCTATGCCCTGCCTCATCTGGTCTCCTTTTCCTCAGACTTGAGTATTTCCTCCAGTAAAAAAACAAACAACAAAGTCATGTTCTGATAAATCTTATCTAAAAAGAGGAAATATATCTCCTTGACCCTCCCCGTCATTTTCTTGTCTCTCCATTCCTTCCTCCCAATTCTCCGGGTGAGAAGTCGATGTCATTCTCCACATTCTCTCATCTTCATCCCTTCCCTAAGCTGCTCCAGTGTGACTAACTCTGTCTCCCTCGATAGCTGCCTCTGAAATGGCAGCACCATCATTTCTTTCTTGTTCTGTCACCATTTCTAGGCTGCTTGACACCACCCTTTTGGACCTCTTTGCCTTGTTTCCCTAAAGACACTTGCCCCGGTTTTCCTCTGAGTTCCTTTACCATCCCTTCTCAATTTCCTCATGGTCTATTCTTC